GGGGGGGGGGGGGGGGGGGGGGGGGGGCGACTGATGTATTTTGCATGTGAAGGTGACCTAGCTTGCACTAAACAGCATCCAGCCATGCACTAAATGTATATTATATGTTTCTGTGCAGAGGCCGTTTTGGAGTGATCCGGGAGTGTAAGGAGAATGCCACAGGCAAGCGTTTTATGGCCAAAATTGTACCCTATGAGGCAGAAAGCAAGCAAAATGTCCTGCAGGAGTATGAGATCCTTAAGGGCCTTCACCATGAACGCATCATGACCCTCCATGAAGCCTATATTACTCCTCGCTACCTGGTGCTGATAGCAGAATATTGCACTGGGAAAGAGATCCTCTTCCACCTTGTTGACAGGTTTGTTGGGAGTGGCAAATACTGAGAACAAGACTTTGGATTGTTAGAAAAGCTTTGTGTCCAAAACAAGCAAACAGGAACCTGTAGGATTTGGACAGCAAGTAGAGAATTCCATAAGGAAATATTACCAGGCCAAGGTTAAAGAGCTTCAAAACAATATGGTCATAACATGTTAGTTGTTCGCAAGGAATCCTTTGTAGCCTGAACTGGGTTTAATAAGCAGAGAAATTGATAATGGAGATTATCATTTATTCAAGGCAGGCAATTAAATAAGATGCTTATTATCTCAGCCGCTGAATTGCAAGAACAAAAAGGGAACATTTCTGCTTGATCTAAACATGTAACCATAAATTGGTTAAACTGATGTTCAAGCAGAATACTTTGTTGTTGTTATTTGCAAAGTCGTGTCCGACTCATCACAACCCCGTGGACAACATTCCTCCAGGCCTTCTTGTCCTCGACCATCCTCTGGAGTCCATTTAAGATCACTGCTTCGGTGACTCCATCCAGCCACCTCATTCTCTGTCGTCCCTTCTTCTTTTGCCCTCAATCTTTCCTAGCATCAGGCTCTCCTCCAGTGAGTCCTTCCTTCTCATTTGGTGGCCAACGTATTTGAGTTTCATCTTCAGGATATGGCCTTCTAAAGAGCAACCCTAAAAAGGATTGATCTCCTCTAGGACTGACCGGTTTGATCACCTTGCTGTCCAAGGGACTCACAGGAGTCTTTTCCAGCACCATAGTTCAAAGGTCTCAATTCTTTGGCACTCAGCATTCCTTGTGGTCCAACTTTCACAGCCATACATTGCACTGATAAAACTATAGCTGTGACTATACACACTTTTGTTGGCAGGGTGATGTTTCTGCTTTTTGGTATGCTGCTAGATTTGTCATAGCTTTCCAGAATACTAGCATGATCATAATTTGAAAAATGGAAATCTCACTTCAGCAAGGCAGGAAGAAGCATTACATTTATTTTAAAATAGTTATATAATATGATGATGACCAATTATACTGTAATACGATGACCGTGATTGAACAACATTATGGCAATTGGCAAACAACATTATTGCCATAATGTTGCCATAGATTGGGAATTCTAGGAGCTGTACTCTCAATGTACTTGAAGGGTGAATGAAAGCTGACAAAAAAATTCTCCCATGTGCTTATGTAAGGGCTAATTGTTTTCAAATCAGAAGTATGTTATTATATTAGGACATACATCTGGAATTGAGTTTCGAATTCCCAATCATCCCTTTAATTTCATTTCTATGCCTGCAGGTTCCGATACTCAGAGGATGATGTGGTGGGGTATATAACGCAGATCCTTCAAGGTCTAGAATACCTTCATGGACGACATATCATTCACCTTGACCTGAAGCCTGAGAACATCCTTGTTTCCACCACAAACTCAATAAAAATTATTGACTTTGGTAGTGCCCAGACGTACAATCCAATGGTTTTGCGACAGCTAGGGCGCCGTGTTGGCACTTTAGAATACATGGGTGAGTCTGTATTATTTTTATATTTATTTCTATTATATATGCAAGGGGATAAGGGAAACAAATTGCTTGCGGAAGAGGCATGATGTGAGATAAACCTTTGAGATGCCTAGATTGATCTAGAAATGTAGGTAATTGAATGGAGTTGCAGACAATCAGATTGCTAAGGACACTGAAAGCAGAGCAGGAAGGAAAGAACTACAAAAGTTAGCTACTAGGCCTTTGTTGAGACCCTAACTCTAAGTTGGCCCCATCTTCTGCATAGTTGACTTTGGGAGGTGGAGGAAGGACTTTCCTTGTGCTGCCAAGCAAATAGCCTCCTGCTAAGGTTTTAGATATCTTCCAATAACTAAAGATCTCAAGACATGCAAAAATCCCACAATTCATTAATACAACTTACATTTCTTTTTGAATTATTTATTTATTTATTTAATGTATATGCTTCTCATCTCACTGTCATGCAACTCTTGGGCGGCTTGCAACATATGGCAACAAATAACCAAAAGCTAGTATGGTGTAATGGTTAAGTGCTGGACTAGGATTAGGGAGATCCAGGTTCAAGTCCACTTTCAGTTATATCGGCTCGCTGGATGACTTTGGGCAGTTGCTCCCTCTCTCTCTCTCACTCCAACTATTACACAGGTTTACTCCTTGTGAAGAAAATCGGGAGGAGCGAACAATGTTGAATGTTGAATGTTGATTTCATTTATATGC